ATATAAACAATAAGTGAACCGAAGATGATCCTAAATCAGTTTGATTCAAGTTTTGTGGTTGGTTTCGATGGAAATCCACTTAGTCAGATTGGAGCTGGTGATTATGTTCAAACAGTAATGGCGCCAAATTCATTGGTCAATATCAACAGTCAACCCGGTGATTACAAAAGCACTGTGAGTACAATAGCAGAAGTTTACAATACACCAAATTCTGTCCCTACTCCTATTCATACACCTAGAAAACGACGCTTGTCAGAGTCCGATGAGACATCAAGTGAAAATAAGAAAATGAAAAGTTCGGGGCACCCCCCAGTAGCCTTATCTGACACTGTAACGTTCAACGCTCTTGCAAACATGATAACCAATTTGACCGAAAGCATGAATAATCTTGGTAGTCGACTAGAGAAAAGAATCAGTGATATAGAAGGAAATGTGGAAAAACGTCTGACAGTCAAATTTAATACGGTTATAAATGATAGAGTGAAAGGCGAAGTTGCTAAATTGAAAGCAGAAATAACGACTGAAGTAAGTGAATATAAAGACAAAGTTGAAACCCTTGAAAAGTCATATGCTGAAATAGTAACATCAAAGTGTGATAAAACAGTTCAAAAACAGAATCTGAATATTATTGTAAAAAATCTTCCTGTAGAACATCGTGAAAATACAGACAAAACCTTCTTGAAATCTAAAGTGACAGCCTTAATAAAAGATGGTTTGAAGCTAGCTAATGTTTCTGTTAAAGATGTTGTCAGAAAACAAACTTATACAGGCAGTAATAAACCAGGTATCGTAGTCATTGGAATTGAAAGTCTTGAACAAAAGAAATTGGTTTTAAAATCAAAGAAGGTGTTAATGAACTCTTCTAAGTATTCAAGAGTGTACATTGAAAACGATATCCCTTATGAACAAAGAATCAATAACATTAACAACCGTACAATTTTGAGAGCCCTGGGCAAAGATAATGATTTTGTTGTTAAATCTGGTCGTATTGTTAAAAAACAGTATAATAACACGTCAATCAATAATGTAAACACTACACAACGGACAGAGGATCAAATGAAAGCCCGTAAGCAAAATAGAAACGATATTGATTCACACTCGAAAAACGGCAAAGCGTACGAAAATTCTTCGGATGGATGGCGAAGATACTCCGGAAATAATAGGCGTGGTAGAGGCAGAGGAGGTGCCGGCAAACCACGTAACGGATAGGTCAAATGTGGGTTTTGGAACATAAACGGCTGGAGTAAAAATCCGAACAGTGACAAAAATAGTTTACTAGCTTCGTGTTTAAAGAATCGAGGTCTGCATATAATTGGTCTTGCGGAAACCCATCTTGTTGGAGAAAATATTATAAATATTGATGGTTATAAATGGTACGGAAATAATCGAAAACTAATCCACGTACGTGCTCGAACTGGATCCGGTGGCGTAGGATTATTAGTGAAAAACGATATGCATTCACAGTTCAATGTAGTGAAAGTGGACGCATCAACAGACGGAATTTTATGGGTACAATTTTCTGAAATTAACAACCAAGATAATTGCTTTTTTGTATGTGTGGTTTATCTACCGCCGGAACACTCTACGCGTTCGGTCAACATCCATGATTTCTTTGATACGCTTATGTCCAAAATATATACAATTCCAAATGGTAGTCCTTTTTATTTATGCGGTGATTGGAATAGTCGAGTCTCCGACATTGAAGATTATATACAAGGAATTGACTTATTACCAGAACGTAATGTTGTAGATTTTACACCTAATAGTTACGGCGACTTGTTTTGTGAATTTTTGAGCAATATTAATTGTTGTATTTTAAATGGTCGAAATTTTATCAACAACGACTTTACGTTTGTGTCAAGCAGAGGATCATCGGTCGTTGACTATTGCGTAGTACCTTATGAGAAACTGTCATTTTTTCAAAACTTTGAAGTCATTCGAGCAAGAACTCTAATTGAAGAAAATGCAGCCGTAGGCTCTTATGACCCGAAACATATACCGGATCATTCTTTGTTATGCTGGACATTTGTCACACCTGGTTATGATGTTCAACAAACCGTGTCCGATCAATTGACAGATAACGGTACTGTAAGACTAGTTAAATACGACACACGGAGTATTCCGAACGATTGGATGTCTGACAATGAAACAATTTCCAAACTTAACACATTTATAACTGAATTAGAGGAATCTGAAATAAACCAGTTAAATTTAGACAATAAATATGAAAATTTTGTTAAAATTGTACATACTGAAATGGATTTAAAGCTAAATAAACGTAAAACTAATATATATGATGGCAAAAGTAACAAAAGGAGACGAATGAAAAAATCGTGGTGGAACGACAACTTAACACTACTTTGGAACGATGTATGTAAAGCCGAGCGTGCGTGGCATAAGTGTCATAGCGGATGCAAGAAGGATTTACGCCATATATTTGTAGAAAAACGGAAATTATTCGACAAAAGCAGTCAGAAAGCTAAACGACAGTTTTGGTACCACAGTCAGGAACAACTTCTAGATGACCAACAACGGGATCCTCGAGAGTTCTGGAAGAAGATTGGTAAAGTCGGCGTTGGAAATGAACGACAGAAATCTATACCGATGGAAGTGACACTAGACGATGGGACAACTAGTACAGATACAAACATTGTGTTAAATAAATGGAAAAACTGTTTTGATAAATTATTAAATTGTAATAATCAGACCATTGACACTAATGTTAATATTAATATTCCAGATGATTTTTTAGATAGGGAAATATTGTTTGAAGAAGTAGTAAATGCTGTTGCTAAAAGTAAAAATGGCAAGTCACCTGGTATTGATCAGTTGTCAGTAGAATTATTTAGAAATAATGCATTGATTTTAACTTTGCATAAGTTATTTAATATATGTTTCAAGTATGGAAAAATTCCTTCTGTATGGGGTAAAAGTATTATAACACCAATTCCTAAGTCTTCAACTTCAGATCCACGAGATCCTTTATCATACAGGGGCATAACTTTAGCTCCCTGTGCATATAAATTATATTGCAGTGTACTAAACGATAGATTAGTGTATTGGTTAGAACAAAGAGATATTATTCATGATGAGCAAAATGGCTTCCGTAAAGGTAGAAGTACCATTGACCATCTAAGTACATTAACTTCAATTATTGAAACTAGAAAACTGAAAAAGTTATCAACATTCACAGCTTTCATAGATTTTAAAAAAGCGTATGATACTGTTAGTAGAAAATTACTGTTTACTAAATTGGATGATTTAGGAATTAGTACACATTTTTTATGTACATTGAAAGCTATATATTCACATGTAGAATGTTGTATTAAACTTAATGGTAATATGACAGACTGGTTTAGCGTTAATTCAGGTTTAAAACAAGGATGTGTATTATCGCCTGTTATGTTCAATATTTTTATTAATAGTTTAATTGATGTAATAAAAGCTCTAGACATTGGTGTAGACATTGATGGTGAAAAAGTTGGTATACTTTTATATGCTGATGACATTGTATTCATTGCTGAAAATGAAAATAATTTACAGACTCTATTAGATGTATTGAGTAGTTGGTGTGTTACCAATTGTATGAATGTGAACTTAGATAAAACTAAAGTTATCCATTTTAGGAACCCTTCGGTTCAACAAACATCTAAATCTTTTTTGTTAAATAATAATACAGTACAAATAGTATCTTGTTACCAATATCTGGGTCTACTGTTGACAGAATATCTCGATTATAATGAGATGGCTAAAGCTGTAGCAAGGTCGGCAAGTCGAGCTCTAAGTTTATTGATTGTTAAAAGTAAAGCACATGGTGGTTTCCAGCACAGTACCTTTACAACATTATTTGATACTCTGGTCTGGTCAGTCATAAGCTACGGTGCATCCATTTGGGGCACTCGTTCATTTTCTTGTATAAACGCTGTCCAGAACAGAGCTATCAGGTTCTTTATGGGTGTTGGCAAGTATACGCCAAATGATGCTATTAACGGGGACATGGGCTGGAGACCACCTAGTGTAAAACAATGGACATGTATCTTTAGGCACTGGGCAAGATGTAGTGTCATGACCAATGACAGAATAAATTATAAAGTTTTCAAATGGTCACATAAAAATGCTGTGAATAATAAGAAAAACTGGTGTAATAGAGTCATGAAAAAACTTAAAGATTGTAATTTTGATTTGTATACTAGTATTGATAGTGTGCTGCATAAAAATATTGTTCTACAACTTGAAAACGTTTTATTTAATAAATATATTGCAGAATGGCAAACGAAAATTTTGTCACAGGGTAATGGTAACAAGCTTCGTACTTATAAGCTATATAAATCACAATATTGTACAGAGTTATATTTAAAACAAAATATGTCTATCAAATTTAAAAGTGCTTATGCAAAATTTAGGTGTGGTGTTGCTCCACTTAAAATAGAAACAGGACGATATGAGAATAAACCAATAAATGAAAGATCTTGTTTTATGTGTAAAAATGAAATTGAAGACGAAAAACATGTATTTACTTTATGTCCTTTATATGCAGACCTTCGAAATATATTGTATAGTGAAGCAGTCAAACATAATGATCAATTTTATAACGTGTCTAATGACGAAAAGTTTATATTTTTATTCAGAAATGAAGAACTATGTCAGGTAGTTGCTAAAACCTGCTTTAATATTTTATGTAGAAGAACAAATTTCTTATTTGTATATAGCTGATGATATATTTTAAATCTTAGATATATATAGTTTTAAAATTATGTTAAATATTGTATATAATTAATCATTTAATAGTCTCTCATAATTCTTAATAGAATGGCGCTTGTATATGTTTTAGTATTTAAGCTAATGATATTTTACTGTTAGTTTTAATATACTATATGTTTTATATATGTTTTTCAATATTTTATGTTATACGCAATGTTTTATATGTATATTGGAATGTATAATGTTATACAAGTGGTGAGACTTTAATAAAATATTGAATCTGAATCTGAATCTGTAAATTTAAAAAACACAAATATTGATTGAAGATATCAGGAAGGGTCAATTCATTTTATTATTTGAATAGCAGTTAAATGTCTCACCATACAGTTCTGACTTCAAATCTCGTTTTCTTTACGAAAGAAGCTTTAAATAACTTTTTGGGGTCTATTTCAGAAGATAAAGGATGATAGATATAAAACCAAAAGACATCTACAGGTCAACCTACAGTCTTCAACAATATGACGAATGATTATTGTTATATTGTCCTTAATGGGTGATTTTTTAAATGTTAATTTATCTAGTCTATAACAGTATCTATACATTTACATACAGAAAGAACGCCACAAGAATTATTACAATAATTACATATGAAGAAAATAAAAACAACTTGTCAAGAAAATTAGATACATTTTTTCCATTTAATAATTGGTTTTCTTTTTTCTCACAACCTATAGGAGTTACATCCTGATTCCTTGTCTTCTTGTAAAGGAAAAATTTCACAATCCTTCCAGGGAAATATTCTTCCTGATAGTATACCTTAGTGGTTATAATGACAGCCACTACTGTGAGTCCACTGATCAACATGATGATAATCATAACAATCAACAGGAAACACATAGGATTAGAGGATGCTGGGATTGATGCTGAAACAAGCGTTAAAAATATGGCGTACGATAAAAGTACTGTCATCGCTAAGGATATACGTTCTCCTGATTCTACCGGAAGTAGAAACACTAGTGGATTGAGTAATGACAGTAACATAGTTGGTAGGACAATCATTACTATATAATACACTGGTTCGCGTTTTAATGATAGGCTCATAAAAAACCTATAATAACCTCTTGGGTCTAGCTGTGCATAGGTGTCTCCAGTTATTACCTCCCAATTTGAGTTCTTTGTGTAGTAATCTAAATTAACTTCATTGAATGACGATATTAATTTGTAAGTACCAGCATGTCCACTCCACGTGAGAAATTCCAATAGGCATGGCTGGGTATCAAGAGGAAATGTTGAAATATCAGTTTGGCATTTTGCTTCTAAAATACTTCCTGGAGAATATTGAACAAATCCGCTGCTATTTATATATACTCTAAAAGCAGAATCAAAACCAACAGGTTCAAATTCTTTTGCATTATTTATCAGATAAATCCACGGTATCCATATATCTGTGGAATCCACTTCCAATGAATATGTATTTCCATAATCTTCAGGATTCCATGATAATGATGCGTCTTTCCATATCACTGATAATCCTCCTGTTAGGACTAGCGTTTCCTCGATCTCTCTAAAAGAATTAATAGATAATAAATAGAAAGCCAGTGAAATTTCTATTGGTTCTGAATGATTGTTCATAGGTATGATATTTCTCCTGTAACTACTGAAAAGATCGTCATATAGTTTTGTCACATTTTCTAAAGTTTGTCCAAAACTTGGCAAAGGAAGCTGGTGTAATACCATGAGGCAGAATATAAAACGATTCATTTCTTATTTTCCTTCAAGCAGTTCCACATTTACTTGTAAATAAGAGCTGAATTACACAGAATAATACACACACACACACACACACAGGCACACATTGAGAGTCTCAAATACGTTACACAACAATATATGGTTTACGAATATCACGTCGTTTAATCTCTTGTTAAAATTTAAATACCTTAAAATGTATTTCTCATTGGAAAGAATATTGCTTCTTAAATAACGTAAGACAGTTATATTTGAAATGACGTTTATACCTTGAAAGAAGTTTTAAATGTTTTAGCATTGTACAATGTTTAATGATTTTCATTAATACGTGTTATAATTATAAAGATTCAATTATTCTGGGATGCCATGAGCAATTGAACCAGTGTGATTGGGCACGTACGACTAATTAGCATAAATAAGAATGCTACTTTTTAATAGAAAAAGGGGAAATCAAGTCAACTATTTTGGTCCATGTTTCAATAATCGCCATTTATTGGCGTATCACTACTTGACTTGCAATACAAGCAATCTCATTTAATAGTCGCCAGTTATTGGTGCATTGCATTTGACCTGTAATACAAGAAATCTCACTATACAAACCTTCCATAACAATGATGGCGATGGATTGATTGCCTTTCTTACTTCCATTATCAAATTAAATGCATCAGGACGAGATCATGTTTAAGTTATATGAAAAAGAACTCTCCTTTGTACTAGACCGCCATGCTGAGGCGGATTTTTCATGCTAGGTCACAAGGTTAACAATCCACAGGAAGACGTGTACTCTTGCCACGACTTAAAGCATTCAAGACGATCCCTCTACAGCAGGACAAACTAGGCGCCGGTCAAGTCCTTGAATAATATTTTTGATTATAATATTAAGGGTGGTTCTGATAGTATTTCTTTATAGCTTGTCGCCTTGTGGCAGCGTTCAGCATATATCAGCCAAACAATACTGTTACTGTTAGTCAATTAAAATGGACTAAACATATAAAATGAAATTGCTAATCAAAAAACAAATGAATATTTAAGCATAAGAAATAACACGAATAAGAACCAAGCGCGTATCATGGAGTTTTCGCAGTAACTAAATGTTAAAAAATTGTTCAAAATAAAACTTGAACTGAAAAATGGATATGGTGTGAATACCAATAGTAACAACTTTTAGACTTCTATTTACATAATAAGAAATGTTTTCCACAGTATTGTTTACAAAATCCTAATATCTACTAATAAACTACAAGTATTTAACTCACTTTTAAATGTTTTATTATAAGAAAATTGTGTTTTATCAAAGTTTTCATTCTCAGTCTTCACAGATATTTATACCCAACGCTATGAAGTATATAGTATACGACTCGTCCGTTACTCTGTCAGTATCATTCCGTCCGCCATACGGTCCGACATTTTTATTTCCGGTTTCTTAATCCAATACTTATGTACTTGTCTATATTAGAATAACGTAGGTTCAAGTTGATTCGTGATTCATGTCCCCTCTTCAAATGTCTTTACATTTTTTTAAAGGTAAGGTAGGAAACATTGTTTCAAATGTTTTTTTTTATTAGACCATTTGTTGCCCTGGAAATCACCAAACAACCTATTTCCTTAATACATGGATAAGGTAACCTTTGAAAATTTAAAATAGGGGAAAGTTAAAGTCATCCCTTCGTAAATTTTACGGACGCCATCACGAGTTGGTTGACCGTTATGGAATAACCGTTTCACAGATGATATCGGATATGTTCCTTATGTCGTAACTACAATAACCTTCCCGTTTCACGAATGTGACCTACCGAATTAGACTATTTACCGGATTTGTAATAACATAAGCAACACGACGGGTGCCACATGTGGAGCGGGATCTGCTTGCCCTTCCGGAGCACCTGAGATCACCCCCAGTTTTTGGTGGGGTTCGTGTTGTTTGGTCTTTAGTTTTCTATGTTGTGTCATCTGTACTATTATTTGTCTGTTTGTCTTTTTATTTTTGGCCTTGGCGTTGTCAGTTTGTTATCGATCTATGAGTTTGACTGTCCCTCTGGTATCTTTCGTCCCTCTTTTAAAGTACCATGGAAATGAAAATAATAAATAAATAAGGATTTTTACCCAGTTGAAATGCAAAGCACCAAACAATTCAAAAATGGAAAAAAATATATATTTGCTTTAGAATTTGTTTCCATAACAGCCATGTAAAAATATGATAAAATTCTATATCATTTTGTTTTAAATTACACAATTTTATTTGAGTTCATCACTCCAATACCAACATTAAGCTAAAATAATCTCACAAATTTTAAAAGACAATATATTAGATGTTTATAAAATAAAAAAGAAAATGGTGTGGGTTTTTATCTTTAAAGAAGTTTGTTTGTTAAAAAAAATGTCCATTCTGACAAAAATATAGATATAAATAGTCCTAAGTTAAAGTTATCTTTTTGACATTGAAACATCTTTTTTATTTATATTGTGTCATAGATCAAACTTATTCGTTCAGTGTATATTTACTTGTTTTTGTGTATTGTCTTTTTGATCGAGTTAAGCCATTTCAATTGATATTTTAGTGTGTGTCTTTTTATGTTGTAATGTTATACCACTGTTTCAGGTTAGGGTGAAGGTTGGCGCCTGTTAAAACGTTTAAATCCGCTGCATTTTTATGCATCTGTCCTAAGTCAGGAACCTGTTGTTCAGTGCTTGTCGTTTGTTGGTGTGGTTCATAAGTGTTTCACGTTTCTCGTTTTTTATATAGATTAGACCGTTGGTTTTCCTGTTTGAATTGTTTTACACTAGTCTTTTTGGGACCCTTTATAGCTTGCTGTTCGGTGTGAGCCAAAGCTCCGTGTTGAAGGCCGTACTTTGACCTATAATTGTTTACTTTTTACACATTGTGACTTGGATGGATAGTTGTCTCATTGGCACTCATACCACATCTTCTTATGTATATAAAAAGATCGGATTTCAACCATACTTCGTTATATATAATAGGAGGATTGCAACCTTACTTGGATATAATTTCGTATAAATGAGAGGAGGAAACCCATTTATATCAAGGTTACCTCACCCGAGTTCAACTTTCATAGTTACTAAAAATAGACCAAAATTTGTGCATAAAGTGGTTCAAGATCTAGATGCTAAATCAAAAACTACAGATGTGATTGCAAATTTTCCTTGATGTATCGCAAAATACGATAAGAGGAATATTTCTATTGATTTAAAAATAAAACAGTATCAGTTTGTGCGATATTCTTGATCTTGTTTTCCGATCAAGATTTATTTGAAAGCGGCTAAAAATGAAGCGTCTTGTTCGAAGGCCTTTTTGGTTTCTTTAAAGCTTACCTATAGCCGTCGTGACTTTTTTACCAATATGTACTAGTAACATAAGTGAATTTGATTTCATTCATATGTGTTATTTCTCATATAAACGCTCCTGTCTTTCATGACAAATAAACTTATACGACGTATACCGATTATTTTCCGACTAAAACACAGCAACTGTCCTCAGTCTCAAGTTTTATTGTTGTGATTTGTAGACCGACTTTGTTTTCGTCTTTCAGACATGATATTCTATTGCTATTTTGTCTTTCGGCCATGATATTCTATTCCTATTTTGTCTTTCGGACATGATATTCTATTCCTATTTTGTCTTTCGGACATGCCAAGGCTCCGTGTTGAAGGCCGTACTTTGACCTATAATTGTTTACTTTTTATACATTGTGACTTGGCTGGAGAGTTGTCTCATTGGCACTCATACCACATCTTCTTATTTATATGATATTCTATTCCTATTTTGTCTTTCGGACATGATATTCTATTCCTATTTTGTCTTTCGGCCATGATATTCTTTTCCTATTTTGTCTTTCGGACATGATATTCTATACCTATTTTGTCTTTCGGACATGATATTCTATTCCTACGTTGTCTTTCGGCCATGATATTCTATTCCTATTTAGACATGGTGCTCTATGTAGATAAAAATAGGAAGATGTGGTATGATTACCAACGAGACAACTCTCCATAAGAGACCAAATGACACAGAAATTAAAAACTATAGGTCATCGTACGGCCTTCAACAATGAGCAGAACCCATACTGCGTAGTCAGCTATAAAATGACAAATGTAAAACAATTCAAACGAGAAAATTAACGGCCTGATTATGTACAAAATATTGAACAAAAAAACAAAATATGATATACCGCAACAAACGACAACCACTGAATTACAGGCTCCTGACTCAGGACAGACACATTTAGAATGTGGCGGGGTTAAACATGTTAGCGGGCGCCAAACCCAACCTTGACCTGGGACAGTTGTGTAACAGTACAACATATGAACAAACTTTGAAAATCAGTTGACAAGGGCTGAACCCATCAGATCGATACAAAGCACAAAAACAAGTAACAAAAACACAGAGTGAACGTGGCACGGTACTTACACATCCCCACAATAAAAAGACACTAAGTACAGATCTGAGAGTTCTCGCAGTTACTGACAGCTAGTTCAAAGCCAATAAAAACTAATAAAAAAATCTTGCATCTAAGACTATTATGTTCTTATAAAAATATCTGTTCGACAGTCCACGTTGTGTTTAAATGTATTCTTTTATTTCCCTATAAATACATTTCTAAATAAGTTGGTCAATAAATATGTCCTTAATATTTGTATTCAATATATACAGATAATCGTCTCAGTATATAGCATTTATAATTCTTAGATAATGCAAGAAAAAACGATTTCTCTATGTAAAAAGACTAACTAGATACAAATATATTTGATTAAAAATAGCGTTTGGGCGCAAAACATAACATGTATATCAAGTAAATAAGATAAAAACTGCAAGAACATAGAAATATCCCCTACAATAAATAAAATAAAATTACTTTATATGCAAGCAATGTACAAGATGAATGTACCTGCAGGTTGCCACGGATTTAAGTACAATATATGGCATGTATGTGTACTCAATATTTTTGATAAAAAACGTTATTGCTGCTAATGAGATAAAAGAGAGGCGAAAGATACCAAAAAAATGTTCTAACTCGTTAACAAATTGACAATGCCATAACAAAAAACGAACAACAACGACGAGATAAACAGTACTCAAACCGCAACAAAGAAAACTAAAGACTGAGCAACACGAACCCCACAAAAAATCGGGGGCGATCTCAGGTGCACCGAAAGAGTAAGCAGATCCTGCTCCACATG